GTGGTGGCTGCCTATGAGTGTCGCTGGCCCAGAGTTGAATCCGAGTCTTCTGAATGGAAGATGAGACTTTTACCACTGAACCACCATTGCGCTTGCTCTACTACTTACTGACTGTGAATCCTGGGCAGATTTTTTAGCCCTTCTAAGCCTTGAGTTTCTTGTTTGTTACATGGGGATAGTAGTAGTATTTAACCTCATAGGATTGTTATGTGAGAATAGTGCTTAATATAGTCCCTGGGGCCCTGGGGCCTCGGTGGTTCAGAGCTGCAGCAAGCTATGGCTATGGTCAGCAGTTCGAATTCAGCAGCCACTGCTTGGAAACCCTATGGGACAGTTCTGCTCTTCCCATAGGGTCATTATGAGTCGGAATCAACTCGAAGGTGGTGGTTTTTTTTTGTTGTTGTTGTTTAAAACGTAGTCCCTGTGAGTTGGAACTGACTTGATGGCAGTGGGTTTGGTTTTGTTTTTGGTTTAGCATAGACCCTGGCACATAATGAGAGTATCCTGTAGCTGTTACTATTTTCATGTTGGAGCTTAAAACTTGGGTTCATGTGACTTATCAGTTTGATGTGTTTGGAAATTGTTAAGTATTGTATTTCTTCATTATTCACACTATTCCTTGGACGTTTCACCTTCTCAGTAAGGCCTTCCCTGACCACCATACTTAAAGCTGCAACTGTCCACCCCCACCGCTTGCCATGCCTATCTTCTATCCCCCACTCCCGGTGTTCCCTATTGCCTACTTTATTTTCTCCACTGTACTTACTATGGAGCCCTGGTGGCAGAGTGGTTAAGAGCTCAGCTGCTCACCAAAAGGTTGGCAGTTTGAATCTACCAGCCGCTCTGTGGAAACCCTATAGGGCAGTTCTACTCTGTCCTATAGGGCGGCTATGGGTTGGAATCGACTTGACGGCAATGGTTTTTTTAATTGGTACTTATCACCTCCTAATATACTTTACATTGGGCAAATCTGCCGCAAAATTCCTCTTTAAAGTGTTAAAAAGCAAAGATGTCACTTTGAGGACTTAGATGTGCCTGACCCAAGCCATGGTATTTTCAATTACTTCATAAGCATTCGAGAGCTGGACAGTGAATAAGGAAGACTGAAGAAGAATTGATGCCTTTGAATTAAGGTATCGGTGAAGAATATTGAATATACCATGGACTGCCAGAAGAATGAACAAATCTATCTTGGAAGAAGTACAGCCAGAATGCTACTTGGAAGCAAGAGTGGCGAGACCTCATCTCATGTACTTTGGACATGTTATCATCAGGAGGGACCCAGTCCCGGGAGAGGGACACTATGCTTGGTAAAGTAGAGGGTCAGCGAAAAAGAGGAAGACCCTCAAGGGGATGGATTGACACAGTGGCTGCAACAATGGGCTCAAGCATAACAGCAATTGTGAGGATGGCATAGGACTGGGCACTCTTTTGCTCTGTTGTACGTAGGGTTGTTATGGGTTGGAACTGACTCGACGGCACCTAACAACAACTGCATATAGTATCTGGTAGACTTATTTTTTGTTCCAGGCTGCCTTCATTCACTGGAATGCAAACTCTGTGTATCTGTTTTGCTCACTGTTCTGTTGTCAGTGCCTAGAATAGTGCCTGGCACATAGTGAATGCACAATAACTCTTTATTAGAATGAAGATGTTGACTTTGAAAGTGATAATATGATTCTGTACACCATCAAATACTATAAAAGCTGATGCTGCCATCTGAGCTTAAAGTGTTTTATTTGGAAGTTGTCAGAGTTTGCTTATTTGCCTATCTAAAAACTCGTCTCCTAATAGAAGATAATGGAGGCCAAGTAAAATAGGTTTGAAGGGATGAATAAGTTTGATGAGGAAAGGAATAGGAGGACATAAATAACTAATTTACCTGTTTGCTTCTGACACCTTTTCTTTCAGCATGAGCACCCTCCAACCCCATGGTGAGCAGGAACAAGCTTGTTTCAATAGTTGACTCTTTTAAGTATCATTTTACTTTCTTGTCTCTTTTTTTTTTTTAAATGATGAGTAATTTTAAACTGCATCCTGGACGTTTTTAGCATGAGGAGCCTCTTTTCTAATTAAATCTTTTATCTTTTTTTTTTATTGATGTAGTTAAATGAAGTTTACATTTCAAGTTAGTCTCCCATACAGAATTTTTTTTTTTTTTAACGTACATTGTTACGAGACCGCATTCTCTCACCCCATTCTGCGACAGCACACTCCTCCCCTCTGTCCCTGATTCCTCATGAACATTCAACAAGCTCCTAACTCTCTCTGCCTTCCCCTCTAACTTCTGGACAGAAGCCGCCCCTTTGGTCTGTTACATCTACTTGTCTAAGAGGCATATTCTTCACAGGTATCACTTTATGTCTCACAGTCCAGTCCAATCCCTGTCTGAAGAGTTGGCCTCGGAAATTGTTTTACTTCTGGGGTGATGGAGAGACCAGGGGCCATGCTTTTCGGGGCGCCTCCAGTCTTAGTTAGACCATTAAGTCTGGTCTTCTTACTAGTATTTGTGTTCTGCATCCCATCGTTGTACTGCTCCATCAGGGACCCTCTGTTGTGTTCCCTGTCAGGATGTTCGTTGGTGGTAGCCGGGCACCATCAGGTTCTTCTGGTCTCAGGCTGATGAAGTCTCTGGTTTATGTGGCCCATTCTGTCTCTTGGGCCAGTACTTTCCTATGTCTTTGGTGTTCTTCGTTCTCCTTTACTCCAAGTGGTTGGGACCAATTGATGCATCTTAGATGGCCGCTTGCAAGCTTTTAAGACCCGAGATACCACTCACCAAAGTAGGATGAAGAAGATTTTCTTAATAAGGTTTGTTATGCCAATTGTTTCTTGTCTCTTTTACATGAAGCAAAACTTTGATTATTTTTTTTTCTAGGGCACCAATGCCTCTGCTCTGGAAAAAGACATTGGTCCAGAGCAGTTTCCAATCAATGAGCACTACTTCGGATTGGTCAATGTAAGTACTTAAAAATGCATTATTTTTATCAAATGGTTTAGCGTGCTTGAAGCAGCTCCATGGGCATTTGCATCATTAACAATTTTTAAATAATTGTTCTTGCTCCTTAGTAACTAGAAGTGAGAAATGTTGTAGAAGGGGAAAATTTAATCCATTTTTGAAAGTCTTGAGCTGTCCCAGAAAAAATGGGTTTAGTTATTGCATCAGATTCTCTTTTTTTTCCCTCTGTGCTTTAAGGAATTTCCTTGGGACACACAACTTTCAGAGCTGTTTTTTTAGCCTTTGTAGGCAAATCTACTTTCATATGGTTTCCCTTTATCATCTGGATGAATTCTTCAGATGGTGTTTGTTTCACTATGTATCTGTACAACCAGAGTTTTAAAAGTGTTACCAGCTCGTCACCAATAACTATCTAACAGTATAACTTGGTGGTAATGCCTGAAGCACGGGCACCATGTGTGGGCAAAAACTGGGATAAATTTATCTCAAAATTCCATTTTTCCTGTGTTCAGCAATAAAACCATTTGCTGCTGATTCTGATTCATGGTGACCCCATGTGTGTCAGAGTAGAACGGTGCTCCGTAGGGTTTCCAATGGCTGATTTTTTGGAAGTAGATTGCCAGGCCTTTCTTCCAGGGTACCTTGGTGTAGACTCGAACTGCCAGCCTTTCCATTAGCAGCTGAGTTCATGAACAGTTTGCACCCTCCATGCTCAACAATGCTCCACTTGTATATGACCAGGCTCAGCTTCCTTGATAAGTTGGTTGTAACCATGTAGTACGGCAGTATTACTTACCACCCGTCTGAGTTTTGTACTTCACCTGATCCTTTCTCTCTGCATGGAAGTTTTAAGTGACATCAAGTGTTCACTCACAAAGACCTGGTTTTCTGGGACAACTACTTTGAGCACGTTTTGTTAGTGCCCAGGTGTGATAGGTAGAAATTTCTACTAGGGAAGCTGGAAATAATCTCTGCAAGTGAATGCTGTCCTGTGGTATAATGGAAAAAAACATGACTTTGAAGTACTGTAACACTGACTTAAGTAGTTTGAACTTTGCCTATACTGATCACTCGCTATGTGATCTTGGCAAGTTATCTGACCTCTCTAAGCCTCTGTTTCCCCACCCGTAAAATGGGGATCAAAATGTCTCCTGTCTCTTGGGGCTATGTTGCTGTTGTTAGGTGCATTTGAGTCAATTCTGACTATTAGCGACCCTAAAGGGCAGAGTAGAACTGCCCCATGGGGTTTCCAAGGAGCGGCTGGTGGATTTGAACTGCCAGTTTGGTTAGCAGCCGAGCTCTTAACCACTACACCACCAGGGCTCCCTTGGGGTTATAGTAAAGCATAAATTAGAGCTCCTGTTTAAGACCCTGGCATGAAGCTGAGAGGTATATTGTGGACACTCAGTAAGTGTTAGTTCCTTTTCTTCCCCAGAAATTGTCACTGGGTCAGCGCCAAGCGTTATTGAAGACAGCATGGTAAAGGAGAGACACTGAGAAGGACAAAGAATGGGAGGAAGAAGGCTAAAGTACCGGAATAGAGGGAGTTGTGTTGGTTAAATGCTGACTTCAGTCTTAACACAAATTCACTTAGCCACTGTGCACAGGCCTCTGCTTGGCTCTGTTTATGAAGGAAAAAGAATTAAGGCCATTTCTTAGTTTGTGGAGGAACTGTGAGCTCTAGATTTATTAACTGCCCCATTTATGCTCCCTTCCAATGGTAATTTATGAAAGTTCCAGCTTCTCTATAAAAGGAGGCTTATCTATTACATAATTGTGTTAAAGTAGATTAAAAATATGTAAAAATAGGAAATTTTCTATTTTAGCATATGTAGAAATGTCATGTTAAGTATGGCAGAGCATCTGTCTTGCTCTTGGGTAAATGACACACAAGCCAACAACCGTTTTTGAGAAGGGGTGCATGTTCTATTTTAGTCCTACGCACAGCACTTTGTAATCTGTGTTATTAATCTTGTTATTTCTTCCGGCTTTTTCCTCTTACGGAAAATTCTGAAGTGATAGTCTCAGCTGTGTTTTCCCCAGAGTTGGTCTTCTAGTCGAAAACCAATGAGATGATGATGCTTTCCCCTCTACAATCATCATCTGTATATCCATGATTTTGCAGAGGTTTAAAATATTATTGTGTGGGTTGCCATCTTGGTGGCAACAAGATGGAGGGTAGTTTAGAATTTAAGATGGTGAGAAGCTGGTGGGGTGACTTAAGGAAGCACCTTTCTGCCTCTACTGCTCTGTGATAATCGAGGAAATATGGTCCGAAGCCAGTGGGCAGGAGCCCTGGAATCTTAAGAGAGAAATGCTAAAACAAGTTCCCATTCAATCAAGGCAGTTTCAGCTGAGCCAGTAGTTCCTATGTCTTGGATTTCTTTTTGATTTGGATTTGTATTTTCACTGTCACGGGTGTTTTGATGTGTTGCAATGTGACATCTTTTATTTGGCCAGCTGTCTTTCTGGGTCTCCATATTATGTAGATCTTTTTTCCTTCCCCTTCTTTTTTAAGCATCAGAAGGTCTCATTAGACTCTTTATCAAGGCAGAGTGGTTATTATCATTTTAGACACTTTAATGAGCTAGAGAGGTACCAGGATTGCTTTGTCTCAAAGAGACAGGGTCTCAAGTTTCATGTAAGCTTTTGTTCTTTTCCCTGTTGATCTAGATCAGATAGCCAGTAGTGTTTAGAGTGGTTTCCTAGTTTTCTGATATGGGGAGCTGGACCCAAATAAAGAGAGATCTGGAATGGTTTGTAGAGGGTGGCCTTCTCCCTCTTCCCACGGATTCCAGAGGACAACACATCCCTGGACCATGCCTTGAGCCATCCCTGTTGTCCTTTGGCAGTTCGGAAACACGTGCTACTGTAACTCCGTGCTTCAGGCGTTGTACTTCTGCCGGCCGTTCCGTGAGAATGTGCTGGCATACAAGGCCCAGCAAAAAAAGAAGGAAAACTTGTTGACATGCCTGGCAGACCTCTTCCACAGCATTGCCACGCAGAAGAAGAAGGTTGGTGTGATCCCACCAAAGAAGTTCATTTCGAGGCTGAGAAAAGAGAATGGTGAGTAGTGTGGCGTACCATGTGTTGATAGGTCTGAAAGAAGGAGAACTGACGGTTCTGTATAGCCGCAAAGTGAGAAGGGGTTTTATTTTGTTGTTTGCTTGTTTTTTTTAATAGGCTTTATTTTTTAGAGCAGTTAAAGAAAAACTATGAGAAAGTACAGAGTTCCCTTATACCTCCTCTTCCCCCGCTCGCTGTTTTCTCCTGTTAACTAACAGCGTGTGTTCCTGTGGTACATTTGTTACAGTAGATGAACCAATACTGATACATTATTATTAACTAAAGTCTGTTGTTTCCATTAGGTTTCACTCCTTGTGTTGTACAGTCCTATAGGTTTTGACAAGCGTATAATGTCATGTGTCCACCATTACAGTATCATACAGAATAGTTTCACTGCTCTTAAAATGCTCCTTGCTCCACTTAATTTTTTAAAGGAAAAATAAATGTGACCACCTACTCAAATACATATATATGTATATTTAAAAAACATTTCTCCTCCCCACCCAGTATACATAAAACAAAAGTAGATTAGAACTGTGTTTAAAAATTCAGCTTTATCACCCCATTTTGGAAGGATCTATTTTACCCCACATTGGGAAGAGTCTTTTTCTGGGCAGGATCTTTGTAAGGGGAAAAATTACCCATGGCAGACTTCTAAGTGGAACACTGATTGGAATAGATAGGTTGATGCAGTAATTGAATAAAATAGTACTATCTTATAAACTTGTCAGAAGTGATGAAAACAAATGCATATTATGTAATCAGAGCCTCTGCTGATTTAAAAATAATACCTCTGATTTTAATTTGCCTAGGGCAATTGAAAGATATCAAACTGATATCTTTCTGTGATAAAAACGACCTGCTGTGAGTTGAATTTTGAGGGGTGGCGGTGGTGGCAGTGGTAGTAGAAACTAGGTGTGTATTCTAGAAATTTTGCCTTTGTAATTTTTATGACTATAGAAATAATATTTGGTATGACAACTTGTGTTTATGCTGGATTCATGCTTACTCCAACAGACTTGCACAGTTAATCACGTTTGTTTTATAAAATCTCGTTTAATTTGATTGCTGTCTTTCGAAGTTGTTATGGTTTATACATACCAGAGTAGAAACAACTGAAGTAGGGAAGGAAGCACAGCACTCCCAGTCTAGTTGTGAACATGCTCGACGATGACATTTCACAGCTGCATTCAACTCTTGACTGTCCTTTCGGCAGTGAGCAGCAATAGCCTTCTGGAATCATTTGTATTTAGTTTCAGAACGCTATCAGATAGACCCATCTTCACGCATATGTCCCTCATCTCCCGTATGTGTTTCATTTAAGCTGCTTCCAGGCTGGTCTAGGGTTTAATATGATCTTTGGGAAGAGACCCCAGTTGCTCTGGATAAATTACAAGATGAATAATTGAGCATTGGTTGTTGACATCATATTAAAAATTGATATTTTATCAGGGAACTTATCAAGTAGTTTTTGTTCTTTTTCGTAGAACAGATAAAAATTTTGGTAGCTTTTTATATATATGTGATGACTTATGGTGATATGAGAAATTTAGTTCTTGGCGGGTGGCAGAAAATGGAAAACAAAAATTCTTTTAAAACTTAACCATTGAAACTGCATAATAGAAGTGAATGCGTTTATATTCCATACCTGTCTGCCCTTTCAATACAAATATTAAAGTGGCATGTAAAAATAAGTAGGTCCTTTTGCTTTTCGAGAAACAGAGATTGAAATAATGATCTTCTCCTTTCCAGATCTCTTTGATAACTACATGCAGCAGGATGCTCACGAGTTTTTAAATTATTTGCTAAACACTATTGCGGACATCCTGCAGGAAGAGAAGAAACAGGAAAAGCAAAATGGGAAATTAAAAAATGGCAACATGAACGAACCTGCGGAGAACAATAAACCAGAACTCACCTGGGTCCATGAGATTTTTCAGGGAACACTCACCAATGAAACTCGATGCTTGAACTGTGAAACTGTAAGCATTTGGAGGGCTTTCACTTAAATTTCTTGTCTGTATTTATGCAGGCTCTGTTGTGTGTGAGTGCAATGTTGTATTATAGCACTTAGCAGTTGACTTCAATATGTTGGACAATTCAATTCTTTTATGTAAGTCTCAGATGCAAACTTTTGGAAGCTGATGTCCATCCAAGATGTCTCAGCTGGCTAAAGCAGAGTACTGAGGAGGGCAAATCTCCTCAAAGCCTTGCTTGCTTTAAACCATGGGCAATTTTACCCATTACCCGCTGCCTTTAAGTCAATTTTGACTCATGGTGACCTCATGTGTGTCTTACAGAGTAGAACTGCTCCATAGGGTTTTCTTGGATGTAATCTTTACAGAAGCAGATCACCAGGCCTTTCTTCCACAGAGCCACTGGTTGGATTTGATCTGCTAACCTTTAGATAACTGCAAAATGCTTGTGCCACCCACGGTTACTTGGGCAATTTTGGGGGTCCACAAATGAACTGTTGAATTGGACCTTAGCCAGCTATGTTGAAAAGGTATTGGTAACCAGCAGGCTGTGTGTTACTCAGCACAGACCACCACCCCAGATTAAAGGGAATCAGTGTGGTATGGTGGGCTTGAAGTCAGAAGACACGGGCTTGAATCTTGTTTTACAGCAGTTTGCTGGGAGCCTGGGGCAAAGTCACAGTGCTGCTGCGAGGGATGAATAGCTTGTGTGTTGGGATGAATCTGGCACATGGTAGGCATGTAATGTTAGTTGAATTTGGAGACATGTTCTCCAGAGGATGATTTAGGATGCCATGTTTATTTGGTATATTTAATTTAAAATCTACAGGTAGCCACATGATGGGGTGGTTAGGAATCCCACTCTGGAGCCAGTTTGCTCCAGTTTGTATGCTGGCTTTGCCCCTCAATTGCTATGGGACCCTGGGCAAGTTACTCAGCCTCTCTGTCCTCACTCTCATTTGTAAAATGGGGATGATGAGAGCTCCTATCTTGGAGGGTTGCAAGGGAAATCACTTAGAATCATGCTTGGTATATAGTAAGTATGCCATAAATGTCAGCCATTATTATTATTTACTAACAATGCAGAAATCTGTGGGTTCTCAGAGTCATTGTATATAAAATCCTGTAGAATTGTGAATTTTCTAGGGAGAGAAGTAACTTTCATTATAATCTGCAAAGGGTCTGTGACCTAGAAATGGTTAAAAAATGAATTTATACATCAAAATCTATGTGTTGGTGGGAGGCTTTTGTTTTTGGCAGTCTTGCCCTTTTAAATTTTCGAATCAGCATTCTGATTTGTTCATTGTAGAAGCAATTGGAAGATGCAGCTAAGCAAAAAGACTAAAAATTAACAGTAATTTCCCTACCCAGAGATGATAAATTTGTTACATTTTAAAAAATTGTGACCACGTTAGCCCAGAGATAACCACTTGAACATTTTGAAATATGCCTTACCTTGCCAAAACATTTTCTGTACGCCCTCCCACCCTCCGCACTCTCTGTCTTCCTCCCTCTCTTCTTCCCTTTATATGCCGGTAAATTTCAAACAAAAACGGAAGTAGAGAGAACAGTATTGTAAAGCTCATGTGTTTGTCACCACTGTTAACAGCACATTGTTAACACACTGGCCATCTTGATCATCTGTCTTTCCCTCCTCCACTTCACCAATACTGGTTTATTTTATTTTATTTTTTCCCATGCAAAAACTCATACATACATTGTTATGTGACTCTGATGGCTTTCCCCATACTGTGACAGCACACTGCTCCTTTCCACCCCTGATTCCCCACGTCCATTCAACCAGCTCCTAACCCTCTCTGCCTTCCCATCTCGCCTCCGGACAGAAGCTGCCCGTTTAGTCTCTTGTATCTACTTGAGCTAAGAGGCACACTCCTCACAAGCATCACTTTATGCCCCACAGTCCAGTCCAATCCCTGTCTGAAGAG